CATGCTAAAACGAACCCAAATGGTAAATGATTTTAGCAACTTGCTAAACTATCACTGTTTGATAATTAGCATGTAGAAAGTACACACATCTCTCATTCAGTATAGGTGTTGTTGGCTTGATGTTAATTGCATTTTATAAGCTGCTTTGGAACATAACTTTCGTAATTAAAAAAACATGACTCATATTCTAGAAAAATTGGAGACTGTCTAACACATTGCTAGTCAGGAATGAAACATGTTTGTCAGTGTCTGATGTGCTCTCCTCTATCCTTTCAGCTCCAGAAGTCCTCGCTCAGAAACCGTACAGTAAAGCTGTAGACTGCTGGTCTATCGGAGTCATTGCCTACATCCTGTGAGTTCCCACAATGCCACACACACACACACACTTGTCCTTTCATTTATTAGCTCAGGACTCCTTCGGTTAGGAATAGAATGAAATTGTCACGTATGATCAGGTCGGAGGAAAATGTTGCATGTCGTGGCCTAATGAGTAAGTGAGCCGTTCCTGTTGATCAGCTACAGATGGTTTGTCTGATTTCACTCATTTATTCTCCTTGTATGGTCTTATTGTTGTTTGAGTAAGTCTGAGTCACTAAACCAGAAAGAGTTTGTCTCTCGCAGATGTTTGAGATGTCAATCGATGGAAACATTTCTAGATTTTCTCAGCAGATGTTTCATTAGAACTCTTTGTTAATTAATACTACATCGAAAACATGGTCTGGTGAGACTTAGAGATGAGATTTAAATGCCAAGGTGCTGTTTACAGTGTATATATATATATATATATATATATATATATATATATATATATATATATATATATATATATATATATATATATATATATATACATACAGTTGAAGTCAGAATTATTAGGCCCCCTTTGAATTATTTTTTCTTTTGTAAATATTTCCCAAATGATGTTTAACAGAGCAAGGAAATTTACACAGTATGTCTGATAATATTTTTTTCTGCTGTAGAAAGTCTTATTTGTTTTATTTCGGCTACAATAAAAGCAGTTTTGAATTTTTTAAGCACCATTTTAAGGTCAAAATTATCAGCCTCTTTAAGCTATATATTTTTTCGATAGTCTACAGAACAAACCATCATTATACAATAACTTTTTAATTACCTAATTACCCTAACCTGCCTATTTAACCTAATGAACCTAGTAAAGCCTTTAAATGTCACTTTAAGCTGCATAGAAGTGTTTAGAAAAATATCTGGTAAAATATTATTTACTGTCATCATGGCAAAGATAAAATAAATCAGTTATTAGAAATGAGTTATTAAAACTATTATGTGCAGAAATGTGTTGAAAACATCTGTGTGTTAAACAGAAATTGGGGAAAAAATTAAACAGGGGGGCTAATAATTCTGACTCAATTTCCTGTAGAATCTGCAGTAACTTACTGGCAGCAGTTCACCAGTAACTTACTGTAAATGAATTACAGCAAAAACACTGTAGTTATTCTTACTGCATTATTTATCATGTCGTATATGTATTTACAGTATTGTATGTATATCTTTACTGCAAAAATATAGAGTAATTTTCAAAGTGCAACTTTAAAATACAGTAAGAAACTGCACAACTGTCCTACAGTCAATTACAGTTCATATTGCAGAGCAAATAATGTGTAATTTACAAAAATCCTTAATAGTGTATATAAGGCCAGGTGATTTGGCTTAAAATAGATGGCTGGTTTTAGTCTTCTGGAAATGTAGAGAAAGAAAAAAAAAACTGATAAAGAATAATAAAAAAAACAGTAAATACTCTAAATTGTTTTAAACTAAAAAAGATTAGTGGTAGGACTGTGTGTGTATGTTTGTATACATGTTTTGTGACATATCAGGACACAAATCTGTGTAACGACATAAGTATAAGCATTGCTGAAGTCCTCATTTCTCCAAAAACGTATGAATCACACCGAATTACATTTTTTCCACATAGTTTTCTGTGAGGGTTGGGGTATAGAAAATCTAGTTTGTACGAGGGCTGCAGGATATTGGAAAAATGTAATACTGCGATATTTTATATTTCTGTAATAAATATTCCAATATGAAAACAGTTTCACAAAACGGTTTGAGCTATATCCCCCATAGCAAAATTTCTCTGGCCCAGATCTAGCCCACACCAACCGCATTTGCTTGTCCCACATGCCACAGTGAATTACGGTACATGACTGGACCAAGTCTGGCTTCCATACAAGAGGCAAACAAGGACCATATCTGGGCAAATAATCCATAACTGGGGCTAAACTGGGCCAAATATGTTGATGTATCACGACTGCAATGTTTTCAACCCATGAAGCATTTCACTTTATGGATCTGCTTTTTCTTGAAGCGACCTGATTGATAGAATTGTTTCTTCACTCAAAAATAATTTAAATGTATTTTAAAAGTGGGTCAAGATAGACCAAACGTACATGGCCCACATATACTTTTTAAACATCTGGGCCAAATACTACATTTGATATCTGGCCCAAGTCTTAAGTGCCGCCTGTAAGACGGTGCCACCTCAGCCAAACCTGGGCCATGTTTGGCCCTTGTGCTGTATATGCCAGTGCCGGACGAATGCCTGCTGTGCCAGCTTTATGCCAAATCTGGGCCAGAATTCTTTGCTACCTGGGATTTGATGTTTTTGTGGAGAGTCGAACAATATTCAGGTACAAAAATTTAATAATCAGAATAGGGAAAAAAACGCTTTTCTTGCTTTGCTTTGTCTCGTTTGTAGTCTAAATATCTAACAAAACTGCTTAGATCAAGTAAAAACATTATTTGGTTTTAAAAGTCAGATGAAATAAGGCAAAGTTTGAAGTTTTTCTTTAAAACAAATTAAATTATCTGCCAGTGGGGAAGTAAAATAATCTTGTTTTTACTTTGAAATGTAGATATTGGTATAGAAAAAAAGATAAAAATTCTAAGTAAAATTTCTGTATAAATACGGTGATTAAATACAATTCCGTGGCTCCTTGTCAACTATAATTCAGACTCAACATTGCATATCTGTGCTGTGTCACTACTGTGAATGCAGTAACGTCCCCACAATTCACAAAAACAAACCAGTGTGTACATTTTCACGAAAAAATTACACCAATAATTTCACCAAATGAACACAATGATGATTTAAAGGCACATAATTAGCAAAGGAACTTTCATTCATTCATTTTCCTTCGGCCTAGTCCTTTTATTTATAAGGGGTCGCCACAGTGGAATGAACTGCCAACTATTACGGCATATGTTTTACGAAGCGGATGCCCTTCCAGCCACAAACAAGTATTGGGAAACACCCATACACTCTCACATTTACACTCATACATTCATTCATTTTCTTTTCGGCTTAGTCCCTTTATTAATCAGGGGTCGCCACAGCGGAATGAACCACCGACTTATCCATCATATGTTTAACGCAGTGGATGCTGTAACCAAGTATTGGGAAACATTAATACAAACTCACACTCATACACTACGACCAATTTTGTTTACCTTATTCACTTATACTGTGGGGAAAACCGGAGCACCCAGAGGAAACCCACATGAACACCAGGAGAACATTGGAACTCCAGATAGAAATGCCAACTGGCCCAGCTTGGACTCAAACTAGCAACCTTCTTGTTGTGAGGTGACAGTGCTACAAACTGGGTCACAGTGCCTCCACAATCAATAACCAATAACCTAAATATTCACTATAAATCACCTAGTCGCCACTCTTCATTCCTCCCTCTGTATGTCTTGTTATTTTAGTGCGCCATAATGCTCATAAGGAGACTGAGAATGTGTCATAAAAGCTGTACATTTCACATGAGCTCCGGCCATCTGCGCGTCTCTGTGTGTATTAATATTTGACTGGCTCTCAAACCAACATAAAGACAAGTGTCTCGTCAGCTTCCCCTATCGTAGTCTGCTTGACTTCTGCGTGTGCGTCTGAGTCACTTGTCTTTTGTTTCGCTCTCCGATCGCTGTCTGTCAACAAACTGCCGAATCTGTGGCTCAGATAATAACACTTTCCCTCACTCCCACTCACAGCTGCCCTCGTCCACAATATATTCACACGTTTATGCTTTCCGCTCTAGCATCTTCGGTCCTGTAATTTTAGTCCTGTAATGTGTCAAATGTGTCGTAAACTAGAAAGAGATATAAGGGAGGACTTGAATGAATCAGGAAAAGCTATTTATATATAGTTGAAGTCAGATTTATTAGCCTCCCTGTATAATTTTTTCCAATTTCTGTTTCTAAACATGATAGTTTTAATTACTCATTGCTTATAACTGATTTATTTTATCTTAGCCAGGATGACAGCACATAACATTTGACTAGATATTTTTTTAAGATACTAGTATTCAGCATAAAGTGACATTTAATGGCTTTAATAGGTTAATTTGGCAAGTTAATTAGGCAAGTCATTGTATAATGATGGGTTGTTCTGTAGACAATCGAATATATATATATGTGTGTGTGTGTAATGCTTAAGAGAGCTAATAATATTGACCTTAAAATTGCTTTAAAAAATTGAAAACTGCTTTTATTCTTGCCTAAATAAAACAAATAAGTCTTTATCCAGAAGAAAAAATATTAAAATATTATTGGAAATACTGTGAAAATTTCCTTGCTCTGCTAAACATAATTTGGGAAACATTTGAAAAAAAAAAAAAAAAAAAAAAAAAATATATATATATATATATTATAATAGAAATAATATCAAGAGTTCCTATTTAGATATGCTTAGCATTTATAGCAGGTTTAGCAAGCTGTCCCGGGAGAGAACCCTGAGCTCGGAGATATTTGACCCCAGGCCCCCCGCCCGGTCAATAAGCTTATCAGGGGATCCGATATCAGTCTCGATAGCTCCCCCATTAGAAAAGGGAGGAAAAGGAGGAGATGGGGTGGAAAGGGGAATTCTTCTAAAACGAAGATAGAGCAGTAAGGAGAAAGTGATCAATTTATAGTAAGCTAGGATCACTCTGATTGGATTATTACTGTGTGTACTTTATTGAGAAAAAACAATTACCCACTGTAAATAATACTAAAGTTTTAATGAAATATATATTAAAAACATTTATAAATATACATATATAAATGTACAGCAACAATAAACTATTTTTTTCAAAGTACCTGAAATAAGAACTGATATAAATAGTAATAAAATACGTTTGGTGTGTGTTTGGCGATAAGCGTCTGTGAGTCAGTCGTCCGCTAGAGCTTGCAGATCTTATGCATGGTTGGCCTTCTCTCAGGTGTGATTATTGCAATGACAACCGGCCGAAACCGTAGCTAATTCTCTTAGCCACTGATTAGCAAACCCAACGAGAAGACAGAAAAAACAGCAAGCTAATGGGGTCGAAATCAGGCAGAAAATTACCATCCCTTTCTCCCCGACTGCCTCCGTTCCCCATGAGGAAAGGTATTTTAATGGCTTTGATGATGGGTGAAAAAAAACATTCCTAGAGATGTTGGAGAAGTGTGATTTATGTTACTCAGGTTTAATCAGCCGTCTTTTCTTTAATCAGACGGGTTCCAAAGGCTCTTGGGGGTTTATTTACGCTTGTTTACTAAGCGTAATGTTGACTGTTATCAAGGTGTATGATGATGTGTTTTCAGGGGATTACAGTGATCATCTAAAAGTATTGCTCAGCCAAAAGAAATATTCAGTCATTTTTTACACAGGACTAGGGCTAGTAATCTCCAGTGTTTCAAAATAATACTATAAAAGTGTTTTGAAAACATACAACATAATATATGTCAGTAGGTTGTGGGTTTGATTCCTTAGCATACTAGGACTATTTATCAAAGGGTTAAAATACATGTCAGATAAAGGGTTAATACTGTATATATGTCAGTAAGTTGTGGGTTCATTCATAACAAAAGGGGCACATATTAAGCATACATGTCAGTAGGTTGTGGGTTCAATTCCTAAGGAACCTGCATACTATGGCTATTTATTAAAGGGTTAAAATACATGTCAGATAAAGTGTTAATATATACGTCAGTAGTTATTGGGGTTCAATTCCCAAGGGACACATATTTAGTATACGTGTCAGTAGGTTGTGGGTTCAATCCTTAGGAACCCGCATACTAGGGCTTCCTATTAAAGGGTTAATATATGTGTCAGATAAAGGGTTAATACATACTGTATGTCAGTAGGTTGTGGGTTCAATTCCCAAGGGATGCATGATTTATTGTAAATGTCTATAGGTTTAATTCCTAAGGAACCCACATTCTAGGACCTTTTATTAGAGGGTTAATATATGTGTCAGATAAAGGGTTATTTCATATGTCAGGTTGTGGGTTCAAACCCTAACTATATGGGTCACATATGATTTAATACCCATGTCAGCAGGTTATGGAACCCATGTGCTATTTATTAAAGGGTTAAAATACATGCCAGATAAAGGGTTACTATATATGTCAGTAGGTTGTGGGTTTAATTTCAAACTTTAAGGGACATATGATTTAATATATATGTCAGTAAGTTATGGGTTCAGTTCCTGTGTAACCCGTATACTAGGGCTATTGATTAAAGGGTTAAAATAAATGTCAGATAAAGGGTTAATATATATGTCAGTAGGTTCTGGGTTCAATTCATAAGGAGCACATATGATTTAATATACATGTCAGTAGGTTGTGGGTTCAATTCCCAAGGAACCTGTGTACTAAGGCTATTTATTTAAGAGCTAAAATACATGTCAGATAAAGGGTTAATACTGTATATATGTCAGTAGGTTGTGGGTTCAATTGTTAACAAAAGGGGCACATATTTAACATACATGTTAGTAGGTTGTGGGTTCAATTCCAAAGGAACCTGCATACTAGGGCTATTTATTAAAGGGTTAAAATACATGTCAGATAAAGTGTTAATATATACGTCAGTAAGTATGGGGGTTTAATTCCCAAAGGAACACATGATTTAATATGCATGTCTATAGGTTGTGGGTTCAATATGCCAGTAGGTTGTGGGTTCAATTCCCAAGGGTCACATGATTTAATGTACATGTCAGTAGGTTGTAGGTTCAATTCCTAAGGAACCCACATATAAGGCGTTTTATTAAAGGGTTAATATACGTGTCAAATAAAGGGTAAATACATGTCAGTAGGTTGTGGGTTCAATTCCTAACCATAAGAGACACGAATGATTTAATATACATGTCAGTAAGTTATGGGTTCAGTTCCCATGTAACCCGTATACAAGGGCTATTTATTAAAGGGTTAAAATACATGTCAGATAAAGGGTTAATATATATGTCAGTAGGTTGTGGGTTCAATTCCCAAGGAACCTGTATACTAAGGCTATTGATTAAAAGGCTAAAATACATGTCAGATAAAGAGATTTATATTTATGTATATATGTCAGTAGGTTGTGGGATCAATTCCTAAGGAGCACAAATACTGGAGCTGTTTATTTTCAATATGACAAAATAAGTATTATAAATATGTCAGTACTTGGTGTTCAAAAACAGAATGAAATTGTAACAAAATGTACTTCTTCAAGTAAACGTCTCTAAATATAATGAATAGATGTCAGAAGGTTGTGGGTTCGATTCCCAATAAACACATATAGTACAGATAAAGCATGCTGTATGGAAATGATGCAATAAACGCATGTGTTTTCTTACAGGCTGTGTGGTTATCCTCCTTTCTATGATGAGAATGACTCCAAACTCTTTGAGCAGATCCTGAAAGCCGACTACGAGTTTGATGCCCCGTACTGGGACGATATTTCAGATTCAGGTACACTAAAAGCAGCACATCATGGTAATGGTCTGGGTCATATGAGTTTAATTTACAATCCTCCATCTGCTAGCTTACACAATGCCAGAAAGAGTAAAGGAATGTTTTACAGGAAGGTCTGATCATGACTCTGGCATTCAGTAAACACCACAGGCTTTAACTCCATGAAATTCGTCCAAACTGCAAATTAAGGGACTGTGAATGAATCCAAATTTAGCTGTCAGTTTTTCCACTGATAAACGCAAAGTCTCCGCTTTATCTCAACATTATCTCAGACGATGCAAATGTTTCTTTTCACTCTGAAATTTCAATACAGTACATACCTGTCAACATTTGGATGTAAAAATGCGGGATAACACCCCTTCCTCCACCAAAAAAAAAAAATAAATAAAACAAACACAAAAACTCCCTATAACTCCCAAAATGACCCAAACCCAGGGGCACCACGGGCCCTCTGATAAGCGAAGTGTCATGGATGAAAATGAGGACCGGGATGTGGGATCGCAAATGAAAGTGTGAAAGTGAAGAAGGGGGGAAGGGGATCACAGATAAAACAAGAGAGGGGGGTGTTGGGGTATATCGCAGGCCCTTGGTACTGTCTCTGAGGCCCCCCTAGAATCACCCAAACACCTTAATCTGTTAATTCAGAGCAGTTTAACTGTATATAAGCCTAAATTAGCTTCATTTCGTAGCAAACATAAAACAGAAAATATTGAAAATAAAATAAAAGCTTTAGCCTATTAAAATCAATGGCCTATACAGAAATTGAATCAAGTTATAAGATCTCACTTAGTCTTTATTCACTGTATTTAAATATTGATGAAAATTACTATAGACACTCAGTGAAGAGCAGCAAATCTCTCGTTTGTCACTTTAAGAATCCACAGATCTATAATGAAAGAATTCGATTGCTTTCATAACTTTTGGGCTCATTTTTAGACAAAATTATTTGAGTTAAAAAAAAAAAGCCATGACAGACATGTTTACTCATTATTAAGTGTATCTGTCTGTTTAAAAACACCCAAATCCGAAATTGTCCACTTTCGCTTTTCATCAAATGGCATATACTGAAGCTGATCTGTGAGCAGTGACTTCATACCGAGCAGGTAATTGCGTGAATAAACTGATTCAGCTGCACATGAAGGGTGACGATCGACGCACAGATTTAATGAAGTAAATGCGGCCATTTTTATATTAATTTCAATGTCCTTTCAAAGCCAAAATGAAGTAAAAGCTAATTCTCTTTCAATTTCATCACACTCGAGATCGGCTCATTGATGCTTTTACTTTTTATAGAAAGATACAAAATACATGAGAAATACAGGACAATACTTAAATGGGATGATAGTGAGATAGAATGGTAAAATACAAGAGAATCCCAGAAAAAAACAAGAGGGTTGACAGGTATGATATAGTATAATGGTCTTAAGTTCTTGAGCTTGCATTGCGCTTTTTAATGGTTTACTTTCTTGTTTGATGTACAGCAAAAGATTTCATCAGTTGTTTGATGGAAAAGGACCCCTCAAAACGAAACACATGCGAACAGGCTCTTCGACATCCCTGGTAAGTCACTATATATACACAGAAGTCATAAATGAGAATTTAATTTAATAATAAAAAATAATTATTAATTAGTCTTACCGATCACAGAGCTGTGAGGCCGGTGTCTAGCCGATGAAAGTAAATCCATATGATGGCGAGAATGACGATTTCTTTTCCTTCCTGTTTTACGGTGGTCGACAACAAACTTTTTGGTGCGTTACTGCCACCTCTCGCTCCGGTTGGTGATATCGCTAAACAATCATTGGGCTGACACGAGAAACTTGCTTGATTGAAAGATGACTGAGGGAGGGGAGTTATTTATGTATATAGTTTACTGTAGTAAGAGCTAAAGTTTACTATGGTAATTAATTACTATTAGTTCATGATAGTTATTAATGACACTACATTTTGTAGTGATATATATATATATATATATATATATATATATATATATATATATATATATATATATATATACGCATGCTTATTGCTAAGTATTATATTGTAATACTTTACTATAATTTACTATAATATTTTAATTGTGTAACACCTGGTTTAGCTTGTGCTGTTATGTTAAATTATATATATATATATATAATTTGTTTCCGTTTGGTACAACATATTATTTGCAGTAAATAATTGAACTGAACAATTCTGCCTCGTATGTTTCATTGAAAGTTTTATTGATCACTAAGATATGATTGACTTGGATTTAAGCTGCTTTAATTTAAAAATGAAAATTGCAAAAATAACTTAGATGTAGCTAAGCTGCTTTTGCCAAGTAGCTTTTAGCTTAGCTTGCTACATTTCCAAGATGGTTGCTTTTAGTGTAGTTAAGCTACATTTTAAGAAGAGTAGCTAATAGCTTAGCTCACTACATTTTTCAAGTTGCTTGCCCAACACTGCACAAGTCCGTGGGTCACGGCAATCACTCGACGCAGAAGTATAATTCAGCCTTAAGGTTATTGCACACTGAATCTGAAATTTTCGTTTGTAAAAAATGTAATTAAATCTCCGATAATGTGAATTGTATTGACACACTGTCTTCGAAACTTTCGTCTGTCATTAAAAAAAAATCAGGTTCGCAAAAAAATTCTTTGACAGCTGTTTTGACTGTTCAGAGCCACCGTATAAGCGAAAAGCTAAATACAGAATAACTACAGATAACTTTAGGACAAACACAGTGCATAAAATAAGGACTAAAGAATTTGGCAAACAGTTGAGAACCCGTGACTGGATTCAATGATTGGCGCACCTCTCCCCTGCTGCTGTTTGGTGTGTGTGTGTGAGACGTACTGCTCATAGACATTATAATAAAAAAAGCATGATCCGCTTTCAGTCCAACATGTCAGCCCAACCGCCATCTATTATAATGTCTAAGACACTGCCAGTCTCTGTTTAAGATTTGTTTACGTATGTGAATGTTTGAAGCATCACAAACAATCTATCAAAATTCAACTGATTTCCAGAAATAAACTTTGCATTTCGGTGTAATCCAGCGCAGCTCTTAGATAATGAGTTGAACTCCCCTTCCTCTCTATGCAGTACTGGATGAACACAATATGCAGCCTATTCCATTACTGTGGAGAAGAGAGAGGAGAACAAAGTATGACTGCTTATCGCTGTTTTTTTTTCATGATGGATTTATTAATACGCATTGGACTCTGTGTGTAAGGTTTGTTTACATGATGAATTATTCGCATATGAATACGAAAATAAAATCATACGAAAATTTCAGACCTGTAAGGTGATGATTGCAAAAAAAGTGGAATAATGCAAAAAAAAAGTAGTTAAGAAAAACTGTAACATCAACATGCAAACCTCATCAGATCTGCATCAGGTCCTCTAAGACACTTAACGGCAGAACATTTAAACTGTGACTTCATAAGCATCGTTTAGAGACGGCGTTTTATTTCATGTTATTAGCTCGAGCCGCTCTTTGCATCAGCCGGGGGATTGCATGTGCGTTCTGAATCCAGTCTCTCCATTATCATGCACCGAGATCCCTCTCAAGGGCAGAAGGGAAAAGCTACTGAATAAACGCTCGGCAATTAAAACTCTGCATCTAATCTCGCATTACGTATTCCGAAGCGCTAATCGGCAATTAGCACATCCTCCACAGGCACCTTTAACAAGCCTTTCACCAAACACGCGAGTCAGGAAAACACAAGGATTGGAAACCCGAGGGGGATTCACACACTTTAGAGAAAAAACAAGTGCTTCTTGAGAAGAGAGGACGACTGAAAGTTTTGATTTGAATGCTTTTGCTTTTCAGGATCGCAGGCGACACGGCACTCTGCAAGAACATCCACGAGTCCGTCAGTCGACAGATGCGCAAAAACTTCGCAAAAAGCAAATGGAGAGTGAGTGCAAGTGGATATTTAGAGTACTAGCAGCTTTTTCCCCTACGCTCCATACACTCAGCTTGTTCAAACTACTTATTCAAAATGAGTTGAATCAACACAACTCAAGGTTTTTCAAGATTCAATCCACTTGATTGTTTTAAGTTCAATCCACTGATTAAGTTAACTGAATAGATTTGTGTTGGGAAAACATAAAGGAATTGCATTGAACCCAGAAGTGAAGTGGTTTTTAAACTAGGTACAACGAGGTGGCATTTTTATCGGCATTTTAAACATGTACCTATACATTGTTTAAATATATCACACATAATTATATATGTGTTTATATATGGCCATATGTGAACATATATACAACTAAAAATAAGATATTTAGTTCATATTTTATTTGTAATTCCAATGGAAAAAAATCCAATTTTAAAATATTTCTAAATATGTTTTGCATACATGACATGTTATATATGTAAAATTAAAATTTGTAGTTTGCATATATTTCAAAACATAGCAAAAATACTGATTACATTTGTTTCTCAACCACTTGAATTACATTATATATTACATTATATATATATATATATATATATATATATATATATTTATTTATGTTCATATATGGCCATATGTATACATATATACACACACACAAGTAAACGAAACGTAAAAATTTGCAATATTTGACACTATATTTTGCATATATAACATACTTTATATATATATATATATATATATATATATATATATATATATATATATATAAATGTAAAATATATTGCACCAAAATATATTGCGATAAACGATATTATTGTCATTTTAAGACCATGTCATGACACTCATCATTATATAATGCCAGAATGACAATATAATAGCATCAAATTATTTAATTATAGTCATTTTAATAATGTAATAATTAGGCAATGGAATCAGATTGTGAAGGCGCATATCCTAAATAAAGAATAATAAACGTGTAAGTGTAAAGTAAAAAGTGGCTGCAAATCTGCTCAATATTCAGTTGTCAGACACCCCTATGAAAATATACTATGGTTATTTATAGTAAAACTATAGTGTTTTTAACCATACTGACACTGACACCTCCTATAGAGATAGAGAGGTTGTGCAATCAGCTAAAATGTTGAAATGATTGAGGTCATGTCTATGTGTTGTGCAGTAAGTCGATGTATTGATTATTGTGACAGGCCTAGAGGTAAATAATGAGGAAACAAAGCATGTTCAAATTTATTACACCATATCGCAAAACACGCAATGATCTATTTAGTTTCGAATTATATTTATATCTATGTATAAGTTATTTAGATTACGCTTACACAGTACTAATAATGTGAAAGTATGCCACTGGCCAAGGATAGAAAAGAAGACTAGCCTACGTTCAAGTATACAGATATTTGTTAGACAAATTTCCAAGACTTTCCCAAAACGTTTTCAGGCCTACTATGTCAAAATTCCATGACTTTTCCAGGTTTTCCATGACTGTATGAACCTCATTGGTATGAGGCCTAAAATAAGCTTAACATAACTCTCATTCAGTTTTAACTTTGTATATGGATTTTTTGTTCAGTGTGAAAGATCCCCAAGCCTTAAGTAAAACTCATAATTTGACATGCAGTAGTCATGGAAAATGTAGGACATCTTTTGTGCATCTGTTTCACTTGTTTTTGACCTTGACTTTTTGTCTCCCCACTTAACAGCAAGCCTTTAATGCCACGGCGGTGGTTCGCCACATGAGGAGACTGCAGTTGGGCAGTAGTATGGGAAGCAGCATGGATCAGTCAAACACTGCAAACCAGAACCGCATACTGAACGCAAACCCACCGCTCAACACAACTACGAATTCCACCGCACCACTGACCCAAAACCAAAAACCTGCTCCAAACCCAAACGCCATTCTCAATAATGACATGGCCACTGGAAACACCCCCACACCACGCAAAGACTGTTAAGTATATGTTTTAACATTCAAAACAATACACTGTGAAAATTATTTTTAAAAGTTGATTCAAATGAACTTTTCTTGTCATCTCAACTTATATTAATCAAACTGACTAAAACATTAAGTTAAACTTTGAATAACTTTAAAAAACATACGTAAAAACATATTCAAATAAGTGAAAGTAACTTTAAAACATTTGTAGTCATGATTTTTTGTCTTTTTAACAGTATAGAAGCTTTTCTTCCTGACTTCAAAATGTGTGTTGTTTAGTTTATTTTTTCCCCCTGCCAAAAATAAAAATGATTACACATTTTTACCATGACTACATTCAATTTGTGTACCAAAAAGGCACACATTTGAGCAATGAGTCAATAAGGAAACTGAAGGACTCTATACTGATTTTAATCTAAAATATTTTAAACTGAAATCTTTTATTAAACTGATCTTTCATTAAGAATTATTTGCATGAATGTATTTGGGAAAAATGTTATAATTTTAACATTAAAACGCAAATGAAACCTGTAATTGTGTTGCCAAACATTGTTTTTGGAACTTTAAGATTTTGTGGACTGAGTTTTAAATTATTTTTACCACATTGCTGCATTACAACAATGACTGACAAAACATTTAAAAGAAAAGAAAAATCTATATATTTTTAGCAAATTCAGTCCAAATACATAAATATTAATTATTAAAGAGTTTAAATGCAAAAACCTCTTGTGCTATCTGATTTTTTTTTTTTAAATAAACTCCTTTATTTATGTTTTTTCACATTAAGGTGAATGAAAATAACATATTAATTACCATAAAAGGCAAATTGCACAACTTACATTCTCAGGAGCCTGAGAATAATGCTCAATTTAGGACATCATTTCAGGTTTTGCATCTAAACTCTTCAGCCCTCCTGAATAGCATACCACCTGCAAATGTTTTTTTCCCTAATTTCTGTTTAACGGAAGTCAAATATCCGCCATGAAACTCTATGGGCACAGGTTGATAGGTCACCTTATCTGCTCCTGCGTCTCTAACTACATTTTCACAGGCAATTGGTTGCTGTCACCTCAGTAGCCAATGAGCTTACTCCTCATCAGTTTAAATGCTCAGTATCATTTTATGCTGTCAAGTTGCGGCATGTTTTCAGAGACCCTCCTCCACCCCAGCTCCACCTGTGTTTAGATCTGCTCACAGGGGTTACATATATATATATATATAGATAATGTTTACAGCAGCAGCGTGTTATATTCTCAGACGGCAGGTCTGTATATCCACTGGCAGTAGAACATCTCGGTAGCAGCAGCAGCGTAGCAGATCTAATCTGCCAAGACCAAATACATCAACATTGCCATACACATATCCATTACTATGCTAAATCCCGAGAGTGTTCATGACAGAAATATATTTTTTAAAACATATCACTAAACATAACAGTTTTTTCTATAGAAAATCAAAACAATATCTACTGCTTAAGCGGGCTAATAATATTGACCTTAAAATGGTTTAAAGAAAATTAAAAACTGCTTTTATTCTAGCCGAAATAAAACAAATCAGACTTTCTCCAGAAGAAAAAAATATTATAGGAAATACTGTGAGAAATTCCTTGCTCTGTTAAACATAGTTTGGGGAAAAAAAGAGACAAACTTCACAGGAGAAAACATTGAAGTAGATGTGTGTATTTCTAACCAGTGTATTTGCATTTCTAGGTACCGCCCCTCCCCACACGTCTTGTTCTCTGGCATCAGCTGCTTCCTCCTCCTCAGGGGCGGAGCCATGCAGGCCCCTCCCTCCCTCTGTTGCGTCTGTGAGCACAGTGGTAACTGGGACCAAGTGACGCCAGGTTCTGCGGGGAGAGAGCTGGGAGGCCACAGCGCTGTGAGCCCCGCCCCTCAGCCCACCCCCCGCCCTGCCGTCCAATCAGGCAGAGGACTGACCCATCGCCATAGCAACCACTGCGCGCGCCTAATGCACTCCTGCCATTTAACCTCCAGGCCACTAGAGGGTGCAATGCATGCAGCGGCAGGAGACCAGATTTCCAGCAGACGGCTTCCTTTTTGAGAAGTGATTTGAACAGAACTGTGAGGATGTCTTTGCCGAGAATGTGCTACGAATCCTGCTACGAACGCAGAGGTTTAGGTGCGAAAGTGCGTGCATGATTATGTCCGACCTTATAAGAGGGCGGCGCCAATGTTAAACGATTCTACTATATCATTACATGTCTAGCTCTTCCCTCTTTCCCCTGTCTTTCTCTATCTACTCACGAGTTATTGTAATCCTTGTTGGCTACCATTTTCTTTCGAGGTTTCATGCTGACCTGCAGAAGTGCTTTTAATAATCACGTTTTACGACTGTTTTGAGACATTTTCTGAGTCGAGACTTTCTGTTTGCACACAAGAGAGAGCGGTTAGCGGATATATTGACGTTTTTTACAAATGCAAAGGATGGGAGACTTTCAATGTCACACCTCACGGTTGGGTTTGACCATCACAAAATTTACGGTATCAGTTAAAACATGCAATATATGTTTGATTGCTATCTTTTTTGAAAAACGCAGAGAAGCAGCAGCTACTCTCTGCTTGAAGTGTGATTTTAAATAGACAAAGAAAGTTGTAGTTATTGAAGTACATACTGTAGTTAAACTGTTAATAGTCAACACAAACACACACAAACGAATCTCCCGAAAAGCCATGGCAGCGTCTCTCTGCGCCCCAGTGTACGAGTTCTCAGGGAATTCCGCAGCTGCACTGGGCGCCATAGTTTGAGATCGTCTCATCCAGTCAGAATAATGTCGAAAATGTAGATAGAAAGCTGTTTAACTCTTATAATGATTGTATGATGGTTTGATCGTGCTAAAATGTTATGCTAAGTTCACGCAGTATCAGAATTAGCCTACTTTAAAGGCCCAGGTATACTTTTTTTATCGATTACCACTTCATTTTACACACAGATGTGCTCACACCACTTCTAAAACATACACAAACGAGTATGAATGAATGAGTTCGACACATGCGCCACCTAGTGTTTCCACATTGTATTTATTCACACTTTTCATTCGGACCAATAAATTGCGCTTCATGCTGAAGTCAGAAAATACTCCTGATGATGAAAACTCATGACAATTATTTCAGTGGCAGAAGTAGCTTTAAACGTTTTTACCCCAACGTCATGGGATGTTGCATTTTGTTTGTAAAAGAAAATCGGGTTGACGTCAAAACCCAACGTCAGGCCCACGTCAATATCGAATGTTTGACAGATGTTGCTTTTTGTTTACATACCAAAGCAACCTAAAAACAACAGAATATCAACGTCTAATGATGATACAGCTGGATGCTGTGTGGACGTTAACAATATGACGTCTGTCTTCATGCAGAAAACATTCCTGACGATGAAAACTGTATCAAAGCATCAACTATTTTAGTGGCAGAAGTAACTTTTTTTACCCCAACGTCATGGGACGTAGCATTTCGTTTTGGAAATGAAAACTGAGTTGATGTCAGAACCCAACATTAGGCTCACGTCAATGTCCAATGTCGGACAGATGTTGCTTTCTGCTTATTTATCAACACAACCAAAAAAATAACAAAATTTCAATGTCTAATGATGTTACAGCTTGACGTTGTGTGGACGTTACCAACATTATGTTGTCTTCATGCAGACATCGGAAAACACTCCTGACAATGTAAACTGCATCAAGACGTCAATTATTTCAGTGGCAGAAGAAACTTTGAACATTTTTTACTCCAGCGTCATGGGACGTAGCATTTCATTAGGAAATTAAAATGGAGTTGATGTCAGAACTCAATGTCAATCAATGTCCAATGTCAGACAGATGTTTCTTTTTGGTTATTTACCAACGTAACCTAAAAACAACAAAATTTCAATATCTAATGATGTTACAGCTTGGCGTTGTGTGGACGTTACCAATACGACGTCTATCTGTCATGCAGAACCACTCAATTTCACACACAGATGTGTTCACACTGCTTCTAAAAAATGCACACGCACATGAGTGTGAATGAATGAGCTTGACACATGCGCCACCTAGTGGTACTGTATTGTATTTATCCGCACGTTTCTTTCGGACAGATAAATTGCGCTTCATGCAGACGTCAGAAAACACTCCTGTCGAAGAAAACTGTATCAAGATGCTAATTATTCCAGTGACAGAAGTAGCTTTAAACATTTTTAACGTCATGGGACGTTGCATTTTGTTTGCAAATTAAAATCAGGTTGACATCAGAACCCAACATCAGGCCCACGTCAATATCCAACATCGGGCAGATGTTGCTTTGGGGTTAATTGCCAACGCAAGCTAAAAACAGCAACATCAACATCTAATGATGGTACAGCTTGATGCTGTGTGGATGTTACCAATATGACATCTGTCTTCATGCAGAAAACATTCCTGATGAGGAAAACTGTATCAAGATGACAATTATACCAGTGGCAGAAGAAACTTTAACGTTTTTACAGAGTACAGCGCTTGGCAATCATAAAGTAAATCAAGTCGATTTATCCATACGTCAAAACATTAAAAATGAAATCTTATAGACATCTAAAGCCTCCGTGGACCTGTTGTCAACTATGAAATTGATAAATGATAGTATCATCTAGTGGTGAAGCTGACAGAATTATTTCAACTTAATTTAAAATAAAAATCATAACAATGGTGGTAAAACCTAGTACCACCAATGATTCTGAAAAAACAAACCCTCCAAACTACTTCAATGAGTATCTATAAATGCATATTTTGCGAAATAACCATAATTATACACAGTCAGCATATTTAAATCAATATTTGACTGCCATTCCCTTCATGGGATTGTAGTTCTTTATTAAAGCCATACAGTCTCTTTAGGGCTGATTTCCATCTTTATATCTTTTGGCTTTTTAAAAGAATCCCTATTGGAGAAATGAATGGGAAAATACTTAGGGATCCAGTGTTGCTGAGAAAAAAAAAACGTTGGCAGGTCTGCAACTTTTTCTGCGACTTTATAAGGCGGTTTCATAAAGATACTGCTAAATATTTCTAGCCGATATGTTGTTTTATTAAAGCCATGCTTCTTTCCTTGCTAAACAATATAAAGGTGAAATTAAAGTGTCTTGTAAGCTTTGTGAATTCATCATCACTCTTGATAAACTTTGATCAAGTTGGTAATTCTTAAACAACGTGCACGCAGCGTAACGTTTAGTGTCTATAAACATCTTTCCATACAATTAAAAGTGGCTGAATTTCTAGCATTGGTTTAAGGGCTAAGTTAAGGTTTTTACACTTCCGTACTGAAGGGTGACTGGTTTTCTGTCGCCGAACGGCTCTGCTATTATGTCCTGTCAGGTTTTTAAACGTGACTGATGTCTTCTTTGCCCTTTATGGTTTGTTAATATCACAGGAGGGAACCAAGATTTAGGAGCGCGTGACATTTTCCAAAGTGCCATCGAATATCTTCATGCATTTCCCATTAGTTTCGTCCTGAATGTTTGTTTCGGCGTTGGACGGCACCTCACCGTGAGGGGCTTTCAGCTAATGGCTTTATTTTTCAGTCAGGTCATGCATGCAGCATTTTGTCTTCGCTTTCACACTCGAGAAGAGTTTGTAATCTCACAACCAGAACAGCTTTGTATAAAACGGGGCCCGTGTTATGTTATTTCTTTTAAACTGCACATTTCTGTTACAACATTTACAGTGTACGCATGAGGTGTTTGATAAGTAACAGTTGTTCAAATGAATGTTAAGCTGTATCTGTGTGCATAAATGTCAATTACCACTGGGAATTATTTTGATTGGTCTCTTAGCTTGAAGTATTTCATGGAAAGAGGGCTCTGTTAAAGTGATTTTCATCATTTGTTTTGCACAAATGTGTTATTACCCAGCAGGCACAGGACATCAACACATAGAGACAGGAGTTAAACATGGTTATGAAGGTGAATAAATACTATTACTTGTATAATTAATTAGTATAAGTATCAGTGGGATACACTTAAAAAGAGATAATCTTGAAAAATTTTTAAATATTCAATATTAATTAGCAAGTTATTAAAATATGCATGAACAAATTTGGAAAGGATATATCATACCTGGTTCTGTAAAAGAACAACTTTCTATTTCAGTCTGAAAACCTCTTCACACTTTGGCTATGAAAACACTGATGCACAGTGTGATCTCTGTAGCACTTGTCGGAGCAAGCAGAGCTACAAATCAACTGGTTTACATGGTTTGGCTTATTAATATTTTATTTTGTTTGCGTATCGACGTCTGTGAGAGTAGTTTTTCACTGTGTTGACGGTTTATGTGCATCATATTTGCTGTTCTGTTGGTGTAAGTAAACGTGTTTTTGCATTTGCACATAGTTTGTGTTTTTGTTGGGTCGCTGGTTCGAGCCTCGGCTCAGTTGGCGCTTCTGTGTGGAGTTTGCATGTTCTCCCTGCCTTCGCGTGGGTTTCCACAGTCCAAAGACATGCAGTACAGGTGAATTGGGTAGGCTAAATTGTCAGTAGTGTATGAGTGTGTGTGTGTGAATGTGTATGTTTCCTAGAGATGAGTTGCGGCTGGAAGGGCATCCGCTGCTTAAAAACTTGCTGGATAAGTTGGCGGTTCATTTCACGTTGGCGACCCCGGATTAATAAAGGGACTAAGCCGACAAGAAAATGAATGAATGACTTCACCGCTGTTACTCTGCCGTCCCACCTCAAGCTTGCTGCTGATGTGCAGGTAAAACAAGTTTGAGCCTGTAAACACAGCGCCCCCTCTGTTAAAAAAATGTATCGCGATTCGTTCAACATTTTATATTTGAAACGATTTTCGTACTCACGGTGAATCGTTACATCCCTAATGATGTTACCGCTTGATGTTGTATGGACGTCACTAATATGATGTCTATCAGACGTTGAGTTTTAGGGCGCTTTCACATGTAGACTTTTGATTCGGAACCTGTCTCGTTTACCCAGTTAGGGCGGTTCGTTTGGCTTATGTGAATCCAGCAATCGTGCTCGGATCCGTGCCAAAACAATCGCTATGAGATTGCCTGAATGAGGTGATCTCGGCTCAATCGAAACGTACATTGTGAATCGATTGTAGTGAGAAAGCGATAGGATCTGAGCCCGGCTATATCACAGTGTTTTATGGATAAGTATGAAGAGAGAATTATGAGTAGGCCGAGAGGTACATGTATCTCAAGTCATCAGACATCTCAAGTCTCCTGGGGATGCCAGCAAACGAGTGAAAATACTCACACATGACTTGTTTTAGCTATTTTGGTCCGTTTAGAAACTTTGCCGTGTGAAAGCGAACCGCACCAAGAACAAGCAACAATGTAACAATTTTAATCACTGTTTTGGAACAAATGAATCGATTCACAGTTGTGAAAGCACCCTTAGTAACCATACCTGACGAATTAATGTCAGTATATGACGTCAATATGACGTTGGTTTAAGATCTTGGATTTAGGGTTGTCATGATACTGGAATTCGATACCAATCACTACAGAAATTTTAAAAACATTCATTTCTTATGAACATTTAAGCGCTGTGCGCATATTCGTAAACAGAGCTGATTTGCCATTGTGTTCACATGCTCACCATGACTGTGTTCATCAAACTCACCGATGTTTACTGAGTGTAACCACAGATACAGGGACACTGGAGTGTTTCAAAGTCACGTCGATCAGCTAGTTTGTCTAGAAGTTGACATATGAGCGATACACTGATGAATCACGGCTTTAAAACACTCCAGTGTCCCTGTATCTGTGGTTTCACTCAGCAAACAGTGGTGAGTTCGGTGAACTGAAGACCTTCACGGCCAATCACAGTCATTTCTGTTAAGCATGTGAAACCAATGGCAAATCAGTGCTTTTTGAGAACGTGTTTCACAGCGCTTAAATGTTCGCGGTAAATAGTCGGTTTTAAAATTTCAGCACCGATTGAGCAAATGATAAGGAATATTTAAAGTGTGAAAGGAGACGGGGCGATGCAGTGGCATAATAGGTAGTCAGGCTGGGTCAGTTGGCATTTCTGTGTG